GGAATCGCCGATTCACTGTTCGGACTCGCCGATTCCGTACAGTGAATCGGCGATTCACTGTACAGAATCGTCTGGTTCTCTCTAGAACCGGACGATTTCCGATTTTTTGGGCGATCCGGTCCCTTTTCATGATTTTCCGAGTCGAACCGGACGAGTCCGGTTCGACTCGGCGTTTTTTAAAACGCTGCTTATCACACACACAATCCCTCACCACGTTATTCAATCTACCAATAGATAAAAAGCAGCCAAATTTGAACAAATTCAACACCACACAATTATAAATATGCATCTCTGCTGAGGAAAAATAGAGAGAAAATACAACAATCTTGTGGTCTTGGGCAAGAAGCCATGGCCACCTCTGAGGAAGTGAAGATAATTGGTTCGTGGGGAAGCATCTACTGTACAAGAATTGAGGTGGCTCTGAAACTCAAAGGAATAAGCTATGAATACATAGAAGAAAACTTAATCAGTAAGAGCCCACTGCTCTTACAAGTGAACCCAGTTCACAAGAAGGTACCTGTGCTTCTGCATAATGGGAAGCCCATAGCTGAGTCACCCATTATTCTTGAATATATTGATGAGACATGACCGGATTTGCCATTGATGCCAAGAGATCCTTATGAGAGAGCTCTGCTTCGATTTTGGGCCAATTTCTTTGATAGCAAGGTAAAACATTACTTGTTTTTCTCTTTCTTGTAAACTAAAGATTCCAGCTAATGGAGTGAAATGATCTCAATTAACAATCGATGGTTAAAACTTTTTAATTTTCATTTCACACTGATATCTCTTTAGTAAAACCCAAACTTGCAAATTTTCAGGGTTAGGAGTTTGGACCTTGAACAAGGAAACTTTAGTAATATGATCCATTTAAGAGGCCCAACCAAATAACAAGAATCTTTCTTTTCAAATTAGTGAAGCCCTGCTTATTCAAGGTTCCAACCTTTAAGAGGGGAAATTTGGGCAACTTTAAAGATATTTTTTTATGAGATACTAAATGAAAAATAAAAAGTAAACGTTCTAATGTTAATTTTGTATTTATGTAGATATTTGAGGAATATGTCGAAATGCACCAAAGATATTAGCTATTTAATATTTTACTCATATGTTCTAAATATTTTTCAAAGTACACATGATTTTCAGTTGGAATGGCAGGAAAAAAAAAGGGTAAAATGCTAAATATTTCAAAAATTAGGTGTATTTTTGGTAAAGGAAAAAAATAATATAAGGTGTCAACTGTAGAAGTGAGCAACATCTCATAAACCCATCGGAAAGGGTTGTTCTGAAGCTGAAATTTTTTGCAATCGATCATGTGGACCCAGAGGTGTTGCATATGGCACAAGAAAGAAAAAATTCGAGTCGTAGTAATAGTATCTCGTAGCACATTATTTAGACCTTCCCTTTCAATATTTTCAATTGTTTATAAATTTGTTCGACCTGCACCATTTTTCAAGCTTTAAATTACATATTTCGGAATGGAAACAGATTATGAGACCAGTGTAAATTTTCGACAACGAAACTGCATTTTCTGACAAGGATTGAAGGTGCGCCTTACAAATGAATTTCCCCTAGTCTTCCTCTCTCACACAAGCGGCAGATAATCTCTCTCTTATGAGCATGTCACCTGACCTTTGGCGCCTTTCCACAGCTATCAGGCGGAACCATTTTCCTCACCCAAGGTGAAGAACAAGAGAAGGCAGTTGCAGTGTTTAAGGAGGGCCTCAAAACACTTGAAAATGGCCTTAAAAATGATTTTAGCAGCATGAAACCCTTCTTTAATGGCCAAACCCCTGGTTATCTCGGAGTGGTCGTGGGCTCGAACTTAGGCTGGATCAAATTCCTGGAAGAGATATCAGGAGCAAAGCTGATAGACCAAGAAAACACCCCATTCCTGTTTTCATGGCTTTCTGATTTTTGTGAATTTGGGGTGGTGAAAGAAGCTCTGCCTGATCAAGCAAGGCTGGTCGCAGTATCCAAGAAGAAGAGAGAGATGGTTTTTGAGATGTTATTTGAATCCACCAAACATCAGTAGAGAGTCATGTAATAATCCCATTTGCCATAAAAATACCAATATTTTACCGACTATACAATCAATCTATTCTGATTTCGGCATAGTGATTTAGCATCTATATATAAAAGGGAAAATATCTCTTTATTCCCCCACTTTTTTTTTTTTTATCAAACCGAAAGTTTGAAAGTGTTATTTGTATCATAAAATCTTTATTTTTTCTATCTTACAACCCCTGTATCCTTTTTACAGTTAATTTTTAACCCATGCAAATACTAAAATAACATCTATCTCTCAAAGCACTTTCAGACCCTCCATCTTTCTCTCTTGAACCCAAAGTTAACCTACTTTACATCGTCACTGTATCCTCTATCTTTCAAAATAAAACTACAAACCCTTTAAAAAACCCAAAGCAAATATCTTTCTTAAATCACCGTCTCTTTCTCTCAAACCTCCATCTCTCTCTTTGATACCCAAAGTTTGGAATCACCATCTCTCTATCTCAAACCTCCATCTCTCTCGTTGATACCCAATATCTGGAATCACCGTCTTTCTCTCTCTCAAACCTCCATTTCTCTCTCTCTGATATCCAAAGTGCAGAGACCCTCTCTACATCATTTTTCTTCCTCTCTCACAACAAATCATGAATTCAAAGGATAATTGCAACAAATAGAATTCATCAAAGCTAGTAAAATTCCTGAAACCAGATAGAATCTATGAATACGAGGTTGTAAACTATTACACAAGATTATAAGATGCACAATTAAATCAAGTAAAATCTGAGACTCGTAGTATTGAATAGCCAAATCAATCCTAAAGTACAACAATCAGAAACTAATCTAAAATCTAGAGAGAGAAAGAGGGAGAACTTAAGAGAGAGAATGATGATAGTAAATGAAACAGACCAACTCAGCTGAGGAGAGAGAAAGAGAGCAACCCACTTGATGTCTACACCATCTTTGGACATACGAAGACACATTCTTTAAGACCCAATCTTCAGCAGCTTTGACACTAGTAGCTAACTTAGCCAACACGTCATTTGGAATCCCCACCATCACCTGTAACCCTGATTTCCCAAGGGCATTCATTGTCTCTGCATCTGCATTAAAAAGCTTCACCTTCTGAAACCTATTTTCTTTCAACAAATTCACAACTATCGATGGGTTTAATGGGTGGGTTGACTGTATGCCCCAATTAGCTCCAAGCCCATGAGCAAAACCCACCAAAAAACGTACGAAACAAATCCTAATAATCACCGGAAAAAACCCCATATCTTCTCTTTGAGGATTCAGCAACATTTGCAAAAAGGACCCTTTCCCCTTATCTATGAATGGTGAAAGGGCCCAATGACTCTTAGAAAATAACTGTTCTTTTCTGCTCTTTATCTATGGAATAAAAAAGAAGCAGAGAAATGAGTTGTATTCTATAAAGATCCCCAATAAAGCTCCATGATTATTGATGGAGACATGGATTGAGAGTTGAGCACAGTGTGAAGTGGAACAGAAACCATGAACAGAACTTCAGTAAAAATCCAAATACAAGAGCATCAACAAGGACTCAAAACTCCCTTGTTTTATCAATAAAATCTCTTTTTAGTTATGCTCTGCAACTGTAAGACCATTCATACTTTTACCTCTTAGACCAAGATAAAATAGGACAGTAGGGGCTTCAAATCTGTGGGGTTTTTAGAGAAAGAGAGGATGTAGAGAGGGAACCTCTGCAACTCTCTTTAGTAGAGAAATAAATGGAATTTTGAGAGAGAGGGTGATGAGAAAGAGTGGAAGAAAGATATGTTGTCATTTTTTCAATTCTTTGAGTCAAAAATTTGTGATCAAAGGGATTCAGGGGGTTAAAAGATAGAAAAGATGTACAACTTGCTTTTGGTTACAGGTAATATTTTTAATTCTTGGATATAATGAGATATATAAGTTAAAACTAGGGGGTAAGGGGATATTTTCCCAATATAAAATTCTATTTTACCAACTCTATATAAAGGGTGTGGTTTGTGTAAGATTACAACATTAAACAATCAAATTAAAGTGCACCTCCAAATTTATTATAATATGTAATTTTGGTATAAAAACTTCTTAGGATTATTTCAAAATCTATTTGCATCTCTAATTATAAAATTTTAAACTCCAAAAATGGTTAAAACTAAGTAGATCTATAAACATATGAAAATTGACGGTCTAGATAATGTGGTGCAAGATGCATTGATCCGGACCGTTTTTTGGCCGGTTCACTGTATTTCCTCACAATAAAGTTGCAATTTGGACCGCTGATTCACTGATCCATACCAATTTTTAGGATGCATGATCTGGGCCATCGATCCGTTTTTTAAATCAATGTAGCGTGATGTAGGACTTGATCCCACCTTTCATAAAAATACCCAACCAAATATTTTACGAACTATACATACAATCTATTTTGTAAAGTAATTTCACATCATTCATTCTATTGAGCAACCATACATATAAACCTAATTCACCCCCAAAAACTTTGACCTCAATTCTCGGTGATACAAAGCCACATTTGGTCAAGTTTTATACTCAAAACGTAAATCAAATCCTAAGAAAAGAAGAATGGCTGGTAGTTACCAAAAAAACTCGATTTACTTTGTAAAAACGTTTTTTTTTTGTTGTCACATAATGCGTTACCAAAATAATGCATTTTACTTGGTAAAGATAAAGTAAAAAATACAATTTAATTGGTAACATACCTGGAAATGTGAAATGAGAAGGGTGTAAACTTCTACACTATAGAATCTCTATAAAATATGTGATTTTACAAGGTAGTTTTAAATATTTTACAGATATTTACATAATATCAGCACAACTCGAAAAATTATTGTAATAAAAATATTTTGTATACAATAAAAATCATCATCATCTGAGTATTATCCCAACTATGTGGGTTCGGCTTCATAGTGGAATATAAAATACAATGTAAAATTCAAAGTTTTACTTTCTGTTTTACATTGCCTAATAGCAAAGTATACATTAGATTTCTATCAATACAGAGTTCTATAGAGATTTTACAGATTTTAATCCGTGAAATCTCCCTAAAATATCTGATTTTACACTATAAAATATGTTATTTACGTAGTAAAATTAGTTTAAAGAATGACATGCAGATTTAGAGTAAAAGAAGGCATGTAAATCAAAATAAAAATGGCTTACAAAATCATAATACTTAAAGATTAAATCAAAGTAAAAATAGCCTGTAAAATCAAAGCAAACTCAGAGATTTACATAGTAAGTCAGAGAAAAAAAACAGATTTACAAAGTAAATTATAGTAAAATAAGGCCATATTGACTCTTATTTGGGGAGTACATTGACAATAAATTTATAGGAAAAAAGAAAAAGATTTATACAAAGTAAAATCATAAATTCAAACATACAATGGAGTTTGTACACACGGAAAGAAGATACTATGGGCTCAACCCTAGAATTCCCGTGTCCTCAAATTTTGGTGATGAGGGCAACCATATCCAGTGCCATATAGCTAATCTCTAGCTTGGACTGGTCAGGTATCTTTGTGTGCCATATATAATCTTTTTTTATATATAAATATTATAGGGGCCGTCATTTGGTGTGATGGTAAAAAACTCAGGTAGTCAGCGCAAGAACGTGAGTTTGAGTCTTGAAAGTGGCCACTTTGTGCATCAGCCAAAAGTTATGACCATTTCCGGCCCACCCCTCTCAGGTCCCTCCTACTGGCCCACCCCTCTCAAGTCCCTCCTTAAGAGGGACCAACACCGGGTTACTGCCCTTATATATAAATATTGCAGCAGCCACTTTATGCATCAGCCAAAAGTTATGACTATTTCCGGCCCACCCCTCTCAGGTCCCTCCTTATGAGGGACCAACACCTGGTTACTGCCCTTATATGTAAATATTGCACCAGGTTACTGCCCTTATATAGCTATACTTAAAGGCAGATACATATCACAAGAATAAAATGAGATCCTTTATTTAGAGAGAGGGTAGGGCATGTATCTTAGAAATAGAGGGACTCTTTTAAAAAAGAGATATTCTTTAAATAGAATATTATTGTGGCCATATATAATTTGCTAAGTTGGATGGGGTAGATCTATATCTTAGTTATTTGGGTTATCTACATGGGAGTTACATGGGAGAAACTTTAAGAGAGAAACATGGTGTGAAAATACTTCCCATCTAATTTTTTCTTTATTCTTTTGAAAAGGTTAGAAAGAAAGACATAGGAATAAGAGATTCTGACGTATCAAAAGTGGATATCTCTATCCTTAAATCTCTTTTCTTTTCCCCCAAGATTTATAACAAACCAGGTTCATGTACTAATGAGAGGTAGGTATTTTTCTCTTAGCCTTAAACTTCCATTACTCTTTGTTTATTTATTGATAGTATAATGAACGTATTATTCTCTTTTATAATGTTTTTCTGTGTTGGAATGGTCTATTTTATTGTCTAGATTAGTTTTAAGTGGTTAATTAAGTGATTTAATAAAATATAAATTTATGGGTGGGAATTACATATTTTTTGTAATTTTTGCTCAATTTTAAAATAAAAGTTATAAAGTTAATAGACTATTCTTATGTATTAAAGTATTTTAAAATATAAGGATTACTTGATGGCTGCTTGCATGCAATCATGTTTTTCTTTTTAAAAATTGTAACCTTTTAATGAAGGAAAAAGTTTATATAAAGATGCTACCTTATAAAGGAAAATTATGGATGCCCCTCAAAAATCCATCGGAAAAGGTGGTTTTAATGTTGAAAAACCCTTTGATTGATCATCTCGACATCGAAATATATGAATATGAAAAATAAAAAGATTTTAAGTCAAAAAAATACTGCATTTTACAACATATTATCTACACCGTCAATTTTCAAGATTTTCATATGTTTATCGATCTATTTGATTTTAACCATTTTTAAAATTTAAAATTTTATAATTAGATGTAAAAATAGATTTTGAGATAATCCTAAGAATATTTTACATCAAAATTATATACCATGATAAAGGTGCACCTTATCTGTACACCTACGGATGCATCCGTATGCAAACTGCACCCTTTAAATGAATTATAAATAGAAGGATTTCAAGTCTTTGAAACAATGCATCTTGTAATGAATTATCTGGACCATCCATTTTTAGATTTTAGAGTGTTCATAAATCTGTTTGATCTACATTATTTTTTAAACTATAAATTTCATAATTAGATATAAAAATAGATTTGAGGACCTTCATAGAGATTTTTGGCACTTGGACCATATATTTGGGCATCAATTTGGGAGGGGGGGTCGCCTTACTTTGATTGTTTAACACGCCAACCTTATACAAATGTCACCCCTTTTTAAAGTCTTTTATTTGAGTGCCTCCTCGAAATTTTGTTAAGAAAAACCTAAATTACCAAGGTTCCAAGTTGTGGAACTCTGAACAAGTAAGGGGACTTCTATAAATTTAGTTATCTTTGTTGTTCAAGCTAAATGGCCTAAAAATACTTGTTTGTTGCAAGCTCCTTACCCTAAGCATATTTTTTAAACTAAAATTCTTGTTGCGACTTTGGAACGGCCAAAAAAAACACATTCAAAGAAAAAAGTAAGGCCAATATAGCCCCCAGTTCCAGGTTCTAAACTCAAAAGAATATATTTTAAAAATATATTTGCTTTGGATTTCAAACCTAGAACAAACAAGGAGTATTTAGGTTATTTGTGGCTTATATAAACTAATTTATCAATGAGCCTCACTTATTCTTATTTCCAAATCCAATTATAGGCAGTTGAAACATTTTCAACAAAATAGTTGATAAGAAACTTAAGGAAAAAATTATTACAAACTTAAGGGACTATCTTGTTAATAAATTAGTTGATTTAACTACCTGATTGCCTGTTTTTTTAAGGTGGTCTAACGAGTTTATTGACATTTATTCACATTACAAAAACAGTTGTCTAGCAACAAACCCTAGGAGATGAGGAGGGAACCACATGGAATACATGAAGGATTGGGGACCAAGAAAGCATTCAACATTTATCAATTATCAACTATCACATACGCAATTGTTCACCTCATGGTTCAATTATAAAAATCAGCCTAAAATTTGACCAAATTCAACACTCTTAACTATAAATATGCACACCACTCACTTACCCACCAACAAAAAATACAACCACCTTCTTTCGTTTGCTTGGGCAAGAAGCCATGGCCACCTCTGATGAAGTGAAGTTAATTGGTTTGTGGGCAAGCTTCTATTGTGTAAGAATTGAGGTTGCCCTAAAGCTCAAAGACATAGCCTATGAATACATTGAGGAAGACCTGATCAATAAGAGCCCTCTTCTCTTACAAATGAACCCAATCCACAAGAAGGTACCTGTGTGTTTTTGCATAATGGAAAGCCTATAGTTGACTCACTTATTATTCTTGAATACATTGATGAAATATGGCCGAATTTGCCGTTCATGCCGAAAGATCCTTATGAGAGAGCTCTGCTTCGATTTTGGGCGAATTTCTTCGATACAAAGGTAAGACAATGGTGGTAGCACCCCTACATCCCAATCACCTAGCGGTTTTCATTTCTGCTGTGACCACTCCACTAACACCGTTCAATCTTTTTTCTCATTTTGTTTCGAAACTTGTGCGTCAAGAGATGCAATTCTACATTTGCATTCCCCACATGCAAAAACATGGTAGTCAAATATAAAAGCAAAACCAACGGTCTAATTTTCTACAAGAAAATTTGCTTTTAAATTTTAAGATTTATTTATTTTTACATATTATTGCTCCCGATGCTAGAGATTATACATTCCAAGAACATTAAGTTTAAAATCCATCTCAAAACTAGATTATAGAGAGAAGGCGCATTCCTGCATATGAGTCAGCCGACTCATAAAAACCACGTGCTTCTGTTTTTGGGTAGCACATTGAAGCACCCAGGCTTGGCTTATTTGTTGTTTTTCTTTTTGTTGTATATTTTCTTGCCGTGATTATGAATTGCAAGGGGTGGCATCAGGTCGGGTCGGGTCCATGTCCATCTAGAGCGGGACCCAGACCCTACCAGACCCAACCCAAAAAATTAAAATATTTAATGTTATATAAATATAGTTTATATATTGGGACTTAAAAAATATTACCAAACCTTAACCTAACACCCAAATAGTATTCAGGTCCAAGATTTAGATCCGGACCTGACTCACCATCCAAATTTTAAACCCATACCTGGACCTTGATCGGGTCTAACCCTCGGGTCCTGGGTGGGTTCCAGGTCCATTGCCACCCCTTAAAGAAAGGGAAGATATCATTTGAGGGTTTTGCAAAATAATTAGGGTTCAAAAGATTTACAAAAGCATTAAAGTGTTAAAAAGCTCTCATCTAACAAATAGAGGGTTCATTTTTTATTTTCATTTTACATAGTACTTTTTCAAAAAATATTTTAAAAAATACCCAAATTGCCAATATTTAGGGTTAAAAATTTTGAACAAACAGGGTATTTTAGTAATTCACCTTACCTAAGAGAGCCCAACCAAATGATGGGAAGTGTCAAAAATGCTTTTAAATTGGTGAAATGCCATGCTTACTTAGGGTTCCATTTCCAAACAAAGATAATTTGAGTATTTTTTCAAATATATTTTTTTGATAAAGTACTTGAGTTAAATGAAAATTTAAAAATCAACCTTTAATGCAAATTGGGATCTAACTGTTTTAATAATTTTGTAAGATAATTTGATTGCTTAAATAACATTTCCTAAAAAAACATAAGGGCCACATAATTTCTCTTTCATAAACGCAATCTCTCTCCCTCTCTCTATCATGCGTGTCACCTAATCCTGAGTGTCCGTCCACAGTTATCAGGTAGAACGATTTTCATCACCCAGGGTGGAGAACAAGAGGAGGGAGTTGCAGAGTTTAAGGAGAACCTCAACATACTTGAAAATGGCCTTAAAAAATATTTTGGCAACAAGAAGCTCTTCTTTAATGGTGAAAACCCTGGTTATCTCGAGGTGGTCATTGGTTCGGCGTTTGGCTGGATCAAATTCCTGGAAGAGATATCAGGAGCAAAGTTGATAGACCAAGAAAACACCCCATTCTTATTTTCATGGCTCTCTGATTTTTGTGAATTTGGGGTGGTGAAGGAAGCTCTGCCTAATCAAGCTAAGCTGGTCGCCTTTGCCAAGAAGAGGAGAGAGATGTTCCTCGAATTAGCTCCACACCAATAGAGAGAGAGAGAGATTTTAAAAATAAAAAGAATAGAGGTAGAAAATGATGGTATTTCGGTGTTTCTCTTGTTATGGGTTGAATGTGTAGTCTATTCTCAAAATAACAGACCTTTGGATTTGGTTTCAGCTGCCTAAGCAATCCAAACTTGAGAGAGAAACTATGAATTATCATGTAATAAATATGATTACCTTGGCTGTCCGATTATTGAATGAAAATTTTCTTCCGATTATTGAATGAAAATTTTCTTTGGATGTCTTTTTAATCATTATGGTCCCATCAGATTTACTTGTACAAAGAGTAACAATAATAGTCACCATAATGGTATTTATTAAGGGATTGTACACAATGGAACCATTTACCTTTGATATAATGAAATCACAATTCTTTATAACCGTTCAATGTGAAATTTGATAACTTATGTCACAAATTTCGAAACTATTTACTAATGTTTAGATATTTGCATCATGTATAGTACTCAACCCGAGGCCCCAGGTGTGTTCAACTAAATCCCTCTCTCTCTCTCTCTCTCTCTCTCTCTCTCTCTCTCTCTCTCTCTCTCTACTCTACTCGTACTACTACGTACTACGTACTACGTACGTACGTACGTACGTTA